AGCAGTAATATAACCATGAAATTACCACACCCAGTATAAAAACCACAGAATCCACCCCAGTGAGCCTGCTGACAACCCATCAGTGAAGCACAGCTGAAGTCCTCAGGGAAGGTTATCCCATAAGGGAGATGTTCTTCCAGCCTCTGCTGACCTCATCCATGGATCCCTGTCCTCTGCACGCAAGCCAGGTGAAGACCAGACCAAAGAACACGCCCAGCGCCATGACAATGTAGGGGATATTGATGATGATGGAAGTCGTGTTAATCACAGACTTCAGTCGACTTGCAGTCTCTTGGTCAATGAGAACACTCTGGGAGGGGAACAAGAAAACAGTATTCCCTTGATTACCGAATATTCACAGTATAACTTTTTTGTGGTATCTTTCTTCCAAATCATTAAATACAATTTGGGTCTGTCCTCCTGTTTAGCAAACTAGAGATATTGAAAATCCATTTATAAATTAGAGTAACTAGAGGGGGCATTTATTCATTAACATCTTCCCTTTTCTCCTGAAGATATGTTTTACTCCCAGAATTGGTGGGAAAAAGGAGGGGAAAAGAATTCAGAAATATTGAGAGAATATCAGCTTTTGCTTACTATCAGACAACTCTAACTCATCCTTCAAAATCCAGCTCAGTACAACTTCCTTTCAGAAGTTTGTCCATCTCACATTCTAAAATCCTCCATCACTGTCTTCACATTCTGCGTTGTGTCTCTTTACCTGTTTGTCTCTTCCTGACTGTGAGGTTCCTGAAGGCAAGACTTTTATTTCAGTCAACTCAATACCGGTTATAACACCCCCTAACATAGGAGGTGCTCAGTTAATGTCAGTTGATTAGATGAATGAATGAATGAAATTTTCCAACAATGTCATATGGAAAGCATCATTTCTCTCTTGGACAGATCTATACTAATCAGGACCAGAAGTTTTGACAGAAAGTGTTAGGGAAGACTTGAGGTTAACTAGAATTACAGAGGGTGCTGATAACTAAGGAAATATTCTACAATAATAGTTTCTGTATGAATGGCAAAGGCATTAACATCTTAAACTGTCATGGGTGAGGTATCTGAAGAGCTTAATTCCATAAAAATTATTAGCAACAATTGGAACTTTGGACTTAACTTTAGTTCAATATGCAGGGAAAGGCCCATCGGGGTCAGAGTTTCCACCTCTGGAAAAAGGGGGTGAGACAGCAGTCTCTCAGCTCACTTCCAAGTCTAATGTTTTATCTTTCTAGAGAAGAGAAAAATCAAGTTCTTTCTGGGAGGGAGCAAAAGCATGAGGTTTCACTCCCTCATTCCCTGGACTCAGTCTAGTCTTTAACAAAAACTCAAGGCCAAAGTTCAGGTAGAGGGGACTTCAGATAAGCCACAGCTATGGCCATAAGCTGGCAGAACAGGGCCTGTCCACATTTTCAAAAAGCCCTACTTCCATGGCCTGCCCCACAAATAACAGTGATGACCCAGGAGCCATTGCAAATAGGTCCTATAAAGTGGTAAATATTGCCTGAATTTGTCCTTTGAAACAATGAAAGCCTTGTCTTAGAACTGTAACCCCAAACCCTTCAATAGTTTATCAATGTGGCTACCAATGCAATGCTAAATGAGAAAAAGAAAGACATAGAATTGTACCTACAATGTGGTCTCAACTATGTAATATCAAAACCAGAAAAATACCGAGGTGACATGAGCAGGTTATCAACTGCGTTTTCTCTGAGGGATGGGCTTGCTCACCAAGTGATTTACTTCTTAAATACTATTTTTAATTTCCCAAGAGTTCTATGAAAAACATGTCACTTTTACAAAATGCAAAACATCAAGGTTTTTTTTTTTTTTGCAAAGCTGTTATTGGAAAAAATTTTACAACACACTGTTGAGGAAAATAAAGCAAGTTAAAAATAACATGCTACTCTGGCTCAGGTTTTGTGAAGTCATTTAAATTTTCCCTTTTCTTGCTAATCTTTCTTCCCAAATTTTCTGCAAAGAACAAGTATTTTTAGGGAAGAGAGAAAAATAATAAAAACTTTTTTTTTAATGGAGGCACTGGGGATTGCTAAGCATGCACTCTACCACTGGGCTATTACCCTCCCCACCAATAAAAACTTTTTAAAATGCTGCTGTTAACAACAGAAGCCAGCTGATCAAGAACTTATTGAGGGTGAAAAATCCTGTAGTTTTCCCTTCAAAACTGGGTAAAAAAGAAAAGGGAAATTGAGGAGATATAACTACAGTAACTATAATATGTGATTCAGAAAAGAATTAATCACAGGTATCAAATAGTGTTTTCTGAAGTTTCAGAATATGTTTTATTTACAGAACTTCAATTTATGCCTAACAATTAGGGATAGCATTTCTGTAGGTACACTAAGTAAGAAATATTTCTTCAGAGAAACTCCTTTTGTTTGGACTTGGGATCTGTTTCTGTAATTTATGATGTATGCATGCTTACCAGAAAGTAGAAAAAACTCTAGGCTTTGATGAAAGACAAGGCAACCACATACCACTGCAATTAATGGGCATGTGTTACACTTTATTTAACTGTTTCTTCAACCACCTTACATTTTCATGTAATGAAAATTTCTACTTTCTTTTTCTCCTTAACTAATGATTGGTAAACTGATAACCTTTTTTTTCTTTTTTAAACAAACTGGCAAATTCTTG